TAGCTACTTAAGAGATAAATAAAATCACCTAGAAGCTGAAGCAAAGAACGTGTGGAACACGGTTTCCTACAGGGAGGAAGCCTCGATGTGACACCTTCTCTGACAACTTTGAGATCGTTTTCCTCTGAAATAAAATGTTGCGTGTGGATGTTTTATATATTAGATAAAGAAGCAACTCCAGTGCTACAAATATTGATATGAACGCGTTCTTGTAATAGTCATAGGGATTCAGAGCAACGATTGCAAAATGGCCTCAGAAGAAAAACATGAGTTTTTCGTTTCGCTCTCCTAGAGATAAAACGTATAGAAACCTCATCCTATGTTATATAAAAGTAAAGCTGAAAGAATGCTTGTTAAAATGGCGAAAGATTTATATTGATAGCAGAGCTGCGACTTGGATGGGACTGGACAAAAATTCCCCTGGACAAATTTTTTGAAGTCTCTACTTATTTTAAGCCTTTTTATTTCACATAGTTAATTCCACACATATCAGCATAAAAACTGATACTTTTTTATTTGCAATCACTCAGAAAGATGAAGGAAAAAGTCGCAATTCCGACGGAAGCAACGTTTTGTTTGATGGGATCCATTCAAAAAAATGTTCGTTCCGGAATTGAATGTTTCGTCCCACTCGGCGTTGTGTTTATGACAGTTTTCGGGAGGCAGCCTATTCTTTGGAGTCTACTTTTCAGAAGATCGATCAATTTTCCGCTTTATAAATAGGTCTAGCTCCTTGTTCAGACTTGGTTACATCATGTTTTACTCGAACTTTTCATCGAGAACATGACGTAATTAAGTTCGCCATAAAAAAATCTATCTAACAAAACATGGTTATAGTAGTGACGATCATGGCTCAAAAATGACAAGGGAGCATCGGTGAAAGTTTCAAGATCAAAAAATGTTCTCCTGAAGATTTTTTGTTCAGATACCTGGGACGCTGATTTCATCATGTTTTACTCGGCTTTCTCTTCAAGAACATGACGCAATCACTATAAAATTAGTCTCCTCACGCTCACTTGGATGTTGAGCTCAAGATAAGTACACAGGAATTTTATTCCCACTCATCAATTAAGTTCTTCCAACTTTTCCTTGTTACATGAATTGATTTTACTGATTTTTTTCATGAAAATTTCTAAGAAAATTTCAACCTCAGATTTGTTTTTCCGCCCGACATCCGCGTGTATTTCTCAGTTTTGGCTGGACATATGAGTATTTGATCGCAACATAAAAGTGAGAGCGGTCGAGGTATTATGTTTCACGTATGACTATTACCAATAGTGTAACGTTTACAGTGTGTGAAGGAAACATTCACGCTTGGACCTTCAGAGAATGCGTATCCGTAAATACTAGACGCTAATATCAGTTCGTTGCTAGAGTCAATCTAGCATCCTGTGAATGAGGCGGAATGGCTGATCCGCAATCCTCTATGCATCAAACAGGACCGAACTGATCGTCTCTACATCCTGAAAGCCGCTGACGGCAAAGCGATCTCACACCGAGGATACTCACCATTGTGACTTCAACCTTTAGGTGCATTTTTATTTTGAGACCTTGCGCAGTCAACATGTTTAGCAAGGCTACACACAGTAGAACTCCTTAGGTAGCCAGAGTGGCTAAAGAAAAAGATCTCAACTTTGTGAGAAACACGTTTATATTTCCCACTCTCGCACAAGGTAGAAAATCAGAGTATAAAAATCGTCTGCACACCAGATTAAGAAAATAAAAAATGTCTCTTATGTAACGGACACTGTTATTTTTGTATGTCTTATTTAACATAAGAACCTACATATCTTCGGTGAGACACGTATCTTCTACATACATTAAATACAGAACATGGATACTGTTTGTATATGCAAAACAAAAATTCTCACGTTGAAATAAGAAAAAACTAGTTCTCTTGCGTTCTTGCAATTCAAAAGAAATTAATGACCATATTCACCAATAAAAGTCTGGTGCGTACCCCGACCAAGATGAGCTGACTAAAACTATCTCTATTAATCTAAGAGACCAGTATACTCTAGCATCCTCTTCTAAATAATTCCACTCTATATACGCATTCTCTCAAGGTGGATAGTATCATCATAAACAGTAACTAAAGAAACTAAAACTTTGACTTATTCAACGCAAGAATTAATACAAAAAATGGTTAAAGTAGACAAAAGTGTATAAAATTTACCAAATACTGGTGAAAACTAATATCTAGAATTCGTATTAGTCCCGCAAGTAGGGATAGCAACTAAATGAAACAAAGGAAGACAAATTTAGAGAACGGGAAAATAAGAGACAAGACAAAATATATTATTTATCATACAATGCCATGAAATAAAAGCATAATAAAAAAATGAAAAGCCCATTAGAACCGGTCAGAAGAAAAGGTCTTTGCACAGGACAGATTTCTGTGGGGGACATATCTCGAAATGTGGGAATTCGAACCGGAAAATCGACATTTTTCTTTAAAAAATCTATAATAGGTTGAAAAACGTCATTCTGACCACAGATAATTTCCCAGTAGAATTAACACGATAGGCGTCTAAAATAAAATTAAATATACCAGAAAATAGGCGATTAAAAATAAGAAATGAAGTCGTTGTGAAAAACATTATTTTTATCAATACTGAAGCTAATTTTTGTTTTCCATTGGTCAAATCCACACACGTAAACTATACGTCTTGTTTACAAAAGAAAATAGCTCAACTTTTGATATCCTTATTCTATGTTCATTTCAGACTTGAACAACGAGCGTGAACAAAACAGAAAAAAAATGGACGATGAAGAAACGCCAATGATTTACGGTGTCGAATTTTACGTAAAAATTCTATGTTCTAATATAGCAGTGGTCAGATACATCTGTTCTTCATCCTTCTCTCTTAGGCTCGTTCGTTATGTGCTGTCGCACCCACGGAGGATGATACAATTCGTTTTTTAGTGGGTACACAATCATTAAGATTTAATAATCAAGTACGTAAGAGCATGCCGTTCATAAATGCTTGACAATTTTTTATTTCTTTTTTTAAGTACATTATGTTGAATATGATGAAGAAAATCAGTCATTATCGAAATCGATTTATTCTCATCGTGCTGGAGAAATATGGAAATTACAAGCAGCACCAACAGATAAAAATATTTTTGCTACGATCTATAATAATGGTAAAATCTGTTTTTCATTAGACAGGAACTAAATTCTTCATCTTCATTCCTTTTTTAGTTCAAGACACATCTGTCGTTCAAAAATGTTCAGTTTGGGAAATACCACAACAAACAAGTGCAGGTGGAACAACAATAGATAATTCCCAAATTCATCAATCACTACAGAAACGTTTCGATCTTCAAATACCAAATACAACACCGACAAATGTTGTTTAGTAAGAATGAAATAAACTTTAAATTTGCTACCACCAACTATGATCTTCTCTCTCTCTCTCTCTCTCTCTCTCTCTCTCTCTCTAACTCAATAGTGTAGCATGGGAACCAAATAATTCATCTGGAGATCGAATGGCTACAATTAACGAAACAAATTTAAGCATATGGAATATTCAACAGGACGCGCCAAAAGTAGAAAGTTACGATGCATACTCGAAATGTTATTCTCTATATATTATTTTTAGATTGTATCTACCGCAACAGTGCACAGTAAAAGTTCGTTAAAATTTTATTGTTGTCATTGGAATCCTCATCAAGGTACTCAACAAATATCAATATCAATTGGTCCAAATATTCGCGGTTGGGATTTAAGAACAATGAAGTAAGACACAGACGATAAAAGATATACAGGATAGATTATATTCTTTCTGTTATTTAGAGTTAGTTATCAAATTGATTCAGCTCATCCTCCATTCGTACGTGATATTGACTATAATCCAAACCGTCAATATTATATAATGACATGTGGCGATGATTGTAAAGTAAAGTTTTGGGATTTAAGGAAGACAACCGAATATTAAAAGTTCTTAATGTAGTTGTGCGTTTTAAGACGCTTCTTAATTAGCTTATGCTTTAATCTGTTATCTTCCAATTTTCAATTGTTCTCCTTTGAAAATATACACATCTATGAGAAGGAAAAAAGTGTACCATATTGAAAACAAGAACTTGTCTTTTCTATCATATATATATCTATGCTTTATCTCAATTATTGACATTGCATATCTGTTCAGTTTTTTGTTTTACTAGTATTAAAGTATTCATAAAGTTCATTAGTGATAATAGATAAATACATTGACAATGATTCATCATCAACTGACTTTGACAGCTCTGTATATGTATATAGATGAGCGATATCATCACTATCATTAATTACTTGAAGAGAACTAGACAATATAGAATAATATACCATCATAATACAAAAATTTTTTCACTGACCATACTAAAATCATATATTTTCTGAAAAAATCGCCTATTGCAGTTTTCTTAATCCGGACAACTAAACAAACACTGCCACAGTAATCAGGGTGTCCCATAGTCTATGTATCATGTGTTTTTGAGGTTCCTAGAGCTCAGAGTTGGTCAATCGATAGGTCCTCGGAGATTCCCTGTAGTATCCGAATCATGGTAGATGGAGGTGCAGGACTTGCAGCACGTTGTAGAGCGACATCTGCTCTATGCCGACATGTATTTACGATGAAATACGACCTGTTTTCGTACCGTAGCCGACCGTAAACGCCCATGTACGGCGAAAACTACGGATATCCGTAACCATCGTCCCGGAAGCGTGTGTCTTTGTTCTGCATTGATCTCGTTCTTTTTCTTTTCTTATCTTTTACTGCTATTCTCTCCACGAGGCCCTTTATCGTCTTCAGTTAGCCAAGCAAAAAAAGGTTAGGTAGAAAAAATACTTTATAATTATTGTTTCACCTGGAATATTTCATGTCGATATAATAACTGTAAAGAGGTCTTTCTACCTTATCTTTTTTGCTTGGCAAATTGAACACGATGAGGGATCCAGCGAAGAGAAGAGCAGTAAGAGACGCAACTCAAAGATGAATTCATTTTGTATGCATGTAAAGCAGCGTTTCCCAAATGGGGTTCCGTGAAGTGAAACCAAGGGTACCGCCAGAAAAAAATAAGAAGATAAAAATTAATTTCACCACGTAAAAAAAATTACGTAGTCTTAAATAATTTTTGTCAAATATTATGTCAAAATACTACTGGGGCTCCGCAAAGTTTTAAATTTTATGAAAGGGTTCCATGGCTAATATAAATTGGGAAACGCTGATGCAAAGTAAGGGAAAGTCGATAGTTAAACGCTCGGCCATAACAGCTATCATACGGTAAGGAGGAGCTTTGCGAGAGATCTATTCCATACGTTTTAATAATTCTTTTGTGTTTGTGCATCGAAAGTCAAAGGAAATAAATAGTATTGTCAAACTGGCAAATATGGTTCATAGAAAAGCTGTAGAGCTTAGAATTCTGTATCAAACCAGATATAATGCACATATTTAAATTCTACTGTAATCATAATAAAACGAGTGAAAGTCGTCAGAGTTAAAAAAAAGCTGTCGGAAATGAATCATTCAGCCTCAAATGGTATGATAAGTCCCTCTTTTGAGGGTAGGTCCTGGTAGTTTTTTAATATTTTCAGTAGTTTGGGTTTTTTTTTCGATATCCCAGAGGGGTTTTTGGAGGTTTTCTTTGAACTGATGAGCCATAAAACCTGTCGGGTATATTAAAAAATCCCTTGGGGCGTATACCCCGACTGCCGCCAAAACTACTGAAAATATCAAAAAGCTACGAAGACCCTCCCGACAGACGCAAGGATTTTTCATCAAATTTTTAAATTTTCTTGAGATTTTCGGTTTTTTTTGAGGGTTTTCTGCGGGTTTTGGTTTTTTTTTTGCTGTTTCCTAACTCCTAGCTCGAATTTTCTCGACAGAATTTAACCGCTTTTTTTTTGATATACTCCAGGGGTTTTGTATGGGTTTTATAGCTCCCCAGATCAAAACACACTCTTTTCTTCAAAAACACTCAAAAAATCCCTGCAGCATATCAAAAAACGCCCAAAAAAAGTACCAGGACCCTATCCGCAGACACGTGAAGTTTTCATCCAATTTTTAAATTTTCGTGGGGTTTTTGATATACACAAGGGGTTTTATGGGTTTTTATGATTCCTCATATCAAAAGACCCGCCAAAACTGCTGGAGTTGATCAAAAAGCCCCTTTTCAGAAAACTCTGACAACTCTCCCATTCCAACGCAAACACAAACTTCCATGTAGCGAAATGCTACAGTTTTTTCCAGAATCTGAATCCGAACTTTCGTTGATCTCCCACAAGTGTTCCAAAACGAGAACTTTTTGTGGACGTTGTTTTTTTTCGAGATAATTAAAGCCAGACAGAGGCACCAGTCACAAAGCAGCAGCTAATGCGAAGACGAGCAGCGTTCTTAGGATCAAGTCTACGTGCCATCCTGCGTCACTCTTAAGATCTTTCGACTCTCACATCAGAAAATGGAAGCTACACACCGCGTATCGCATTTCGTACTACGGGCTTTGCCTGTGTGCCATCTAGTTTGCATCCTTTTAGCAACAATAGTTAGAAAGCTCAAATTCTAGCATACAACAGACACAACGGTGCCCCAGAATAAATGGCTAATTTTTGTTTTAGTTATTGAGGCACTTTCCAGTGACGCAAAGAGTTGTTCTAGGCTCGTTCGATAGAAGATTGAATTCTCTACAAAATCTGCTATCTAAATCTCTCAGAGCAGTTTTCTCGTTTGAGCACCATTCAAAATATTGAAGGGTGCCGAATTGCGCGATACTGAAAATAGAAAAATATGTGCGTTGATCCAAAAACAAATTTCATAAGAGTTTCGAAAACGTCAAAAGATTCAGATGAAAATTCTGCATCTTCTCACATGTTTTTCGAAATTTTGCAGTTAAATCTAGGAAAATTTCTCTTTGCAAAAAACTGATAAATTTGAAAAGCCTAACTTTCAAACCTAGTTTTCGCAGACTTTAACAGTTCTGAATCCAGGATTTTAGTCTTGTTATCTTACACAGAATTAAATTCTGCGTCTTTTGATATACAAACAAAGTTTCTCAATTGAAACAATTAATTAAGAAATGAATCTAGAAAATTAAGAAGCCGGTTGAGAACTAATTATGAGTCCATACAATGTTTCTGCTTCGTCAGCTGAAGTTGTAAATAAGTGAGATTGATAGAGCAAAAATTCTCTACATTTCTACGTAGAAACATTAATTATTGAACCTCAGGCAATGGGCTAAAAATCTAAAAAAAACGAAACGACAAATGCACGCGCCGTTCGACAACTCAGCACCCTTCAATATTTTGAATGGTGCTCAAACGAGAAAACTGCTCTGAGAGATTTAGATAGCACGTTTTGTAGAAAATTCAATCTTCTATCGAACGAGCCTAGAACCAATTCTTTGCATCACTGGAAAATGCCTCGAAAACAAAAAATAAAAATTAGCCATTTATTCTGGGGCACCCGTTAGATACCTAGTATATATGCTGTTAATGTCAGCCTTCTCCACTAAAGAAACATGTGAGAAAATATCACTGATTACGAGAATCAAAACTTAGTATACACTCTTTATGTAAATTTTATAAAATATTTTTAATAAAACATTATTAAACATAAATAAAATTTTTTGCTCTGTTGACGAGTTGAAAATGTGTAATACTATGTGGTATCATGGCTATCCTATCGGTGAACCTCATTTCTGCTCTTCAACAAAGTGGAACACCCGCCTATGAATAAGTAGCTGTTGTAGCGATCGTTAAATTTCTTTCTACGAAAAGCCATCTGATCTCAGCAAGCTTAAGTACGTGTTTGTTGGATCGTAGACTGCATCATAGGTGCATTCAAAATTTGGAAAAATATTTATATACACTGTAATATGATCGACGCTGCTTGTTTTATGAGATGTATATGTTTTTTCATCAATGCAAAGTCAGATGGCGAAGAAAAAGAGATTAGTCTAGCTTATATGGCTCGATGGTATGTTCCCCACCTTTTGCTCTGTAGGAACCTCGACCGAACCTCATTTGGCTCACTTTGTTTAATAGCTCCAAGTTGCGTCTGATAGAAGGTACGATTTCATCTGATGACAACAGTGGATCAATACAGTAACAGAGCTTGCTTTTTATCCCGTTCCAGGATTTAAAAATCCGTTCCTGAATCCGTCCGCCTGAATTCAAAATAGCGTCTGGATGCATTTCTGTGCTAAATCGTGTTCAGACACCCCGAAAGGTTGCATTTAATCTAAGCATTTATTAGAGATCAATCGCCTGGGCATTATAGATCTCGATTCCCAATATAGTGAATACAAAAAGCAAACAAGAGAGAATGATAAAAAGGATATAAAAGTTACACAAAAAGGAAAAAAAATGGATATGGTAAAAGAGAGAAGTGACAAATATGGTATGTGTGTGTGTGTGTGTGAAGGAAGCTAAAAAAACAAATATAATCAAAATTGTATCTAAATGAACATTTCACAGGTGCCAGGTTGCATTTTAGATGCGTCTAGACGTATTACGTAGGAAATGTTGTATTTTGCACGAGTTCAAACGCAAGGCGCTCAAAAGAAACCCAAACGAATGAAACGCCTTCGCACTCTGAAAATTTGTTACATGGGATTCTCAGCAGAAAATGAGGAACCGCTAAGCTGAGAAACTGCTCATTCATCACTTTCGAATACCAACGTCGTGAGAAGTTTCAAGAAAAAATTGATTGTTTACTAAACAGCAACGATTTATGTCATTATAATCACTTTCCTGTAGAATACATAAAATATTCTGCTCTCAACCGAAGCTAGCGAGTGTCATTTCCAATTTTGTTAGAATGATGCCAACTCAGAAATTCATGCGATGCACACTCAGTGGCGGAGCGACCGTGGGCGGGAGGGGTGGGTACACCCCCCCTGCTTTCAGATATTTCCTTGAAAATTTGCTCCGATTTGAGCCAAAAGTACGGAAATCTTACTCCGATTTTATGAAAGAATGGACTGAGTTTACTTCGATTTTGCCAAACTTCTGTTTGCAATTTTTACGGTTTTTGCGCAGATATTGGGTGTTTTCTCCAATTTCCGGCCATCTTTGCTACAAAAATGTGACAAAATCGGGAAAAGCTAGAACAAGGTGGAACACCTCCTTCTCAAGATGGACGGGTCCAAGTCCCTACTGAAGCATTACTGTTTTATTTGACACTTAACAAATTCATTCTCCGTACGAAAAATTAGATACTCCTTGACAGAATATGTCAAGTAATTTGTCAGGCAAATGTCCTCTGTGTCTTACTTCAGTATATCATAAAACAAACACAACTTACTTCCAGATTTCTCGATTTATCAGTTAATCCAAACATTAGTACAAAACATTTTGTAATTGAAACAAGTGCGTATTTAACAGCACTGAGAGAATCGATCACCGATTTATTACTTAAATGTGATCAGACGCTTGAACAAATACCATCGTCATTACTGACAACAACTGAGATGATAAAGTCATCAGAAATATCCATATGTCGTGATCCGTCAACAAGAAAAATTTATAATGAAGTGGAGTTACGATATTTAGTTAACGAAGGACCAAACCAACCAATATTAAACCATTATCCGGACAATGAAGTATTAAAAAAAATAATCAAACATGTCATTTTACTTCAAAATGGTATCAAGAATTTTCATTGATTGAATATAGTCCGACCAAGGATTTAATTTATTGCTTTTGTTGTCGATTATTTGGTGACGGTCCAGGTAGTGCTCAATCGGAAAATGCATGGACAACATTAGGTGTTGATACATGGAATAAAATCAAAGGTAGGTAGATAAAAATCTTTCAAACTTGATCGATTTTGTTTATATTGCATTTTTGTTACTTCTAGGTAGTCGAGGTGTTAACAAAAACGGGAAACTAGAAGTACATAATGAAAGTGAAGTACATATATCATCATTACAACGTTATCTGAAATTTAAAGAACGTAAAAACAATATTGATTTTATGCTGGATAAAAATCTACAACAGCAAGAGCAACAAAAAGTTCAAATGGCTAAATCTAACCTAGAAGCAGTTAAAATATTAATTGATTGTGTGAAATATTTATCAAGACAAGATATAGCTTTTCGTGGGCATGTTGAAGAAGAGGGAAACTTTTACTAGCTTGTACAATTATTATCAAAGCACAATCCAGTATTAAAACAATGGCTAAACGATGTTCATAATCGTCCATATAAAGTAAATATCGTTCAACAGTTAGTTATTAAATTCGACATATGATGTTTTTTACCTTTCAACTTACTGTTTAGGTTACTATATGAGTACAGATTCACAAAACGAATTTATTCAGTTATTAGGTGATAGCGTTCAAGAAACAAGTTTAGCTGATATTCGGGCATCACCATATTATTCGATCATGGCCGATTCAACACCCGATTCTAATCGTCAAGATATATTAACCATATTTGTTCGGTTTGCCGATGACAATTTAGATTATTGTATCGATTAAAGAACTACGTTTGAAAACGGGTAATAGTTATACGACTACTGGCTACTTCATTCCATTGACTTTAATTTTATTTTAATTGTTAGGTGGTGGTATTGCAAATCATATTTTAGAAGTATTAAATGAACTTCAATTAGATCCTGATCGGTTAGTTGCACAATCCTATGATTATGTAAATAATATGAGTGACCAACTCAATGGTGTACACGCAAAGATTAGTGATAAATTACAACGCAAAATTAAATACATTCCATGCTCAGGACATCGATCGAATACAGTCGTTAAACATGCATGTGAAGCGAGTTTAGATATTAATTGTTTAGTTGGAACATTACAGAATATATACAATTTTTTTACATCGAGTACAAAAAGGTAAGAATTGTATGGCGCACTTAAATGTTTATCTGTTTTTTTCTTTATTCAGATTAGCCATTTTAAATGACAAATATTCTTCAAATTTATTTACGTTAATCCCAGAGACAACATCAACAATAAGATGGGGTGGGAAATATCAAGCATTAAAAGCTGTTTATGAATCTTTCCGTGAAATTGTAGAAGCATTAGATGAAATAACTGACGATAGTGAAAATTTTGATAAAGACACAAGAAACGAGGCTAATTCCATCAACACAAATATGAAAACATTTAATTTTATTACATATCTAATATTTATGAAAAATCTAATGTCTACAACAAACGCCATCACATATCATTTTCAAGGTCAAAAATTGGATTTATTAACAACTGGTGAATTATTAGATAGAACAACTAAATTATTAGAACGTGAACGAAATAATGATGATAATTTAAATAATTTAATTACAATGAGTGAAAATATGTCGAAAAGCTATGAGATTGATCCTGATAAGGAATTCAATTATAAACACCGTCAACGAAGACCACCAAAAAGAACTGACGAAAATCCACAAACAGCTCATAAATTTACAAGGTATGTATAATTTAATCACTAAGTATTTCTTGTCTTCGAAGTATGTCGTACTGACTGGTCGCGCTGCCATTGATCGTCAAATTGACTTCGTCTTATATGAAAAACATTTCTATTTTCTCTTTTCAACTGTGACTTTATCTATATTTGCCTTTGTTCATTGGTTTCTAGATTACAGTATTATACAAACAGTTTTAGACAAGTATTGGATCGATTAATTTTAGAATATAAGGAGTGTTGTCATCGATTGATAGTAATTTAGAATCATTATCAAAACTAGCACCAGAATATATTACAAATTTATCCCAACAAGATGTTGTTAATATTTGTCAAATGACTAAAATTGACGATAGTAATTTATTGTATGGAGAAATTCAATTATTTAAAATAAAAATAGCTGAAGAATGCGTTACAATTACAGATGCATCATTATTTATCAGTAAACGGAAATCAACAATCCCAAGATTATATCAAGCATATAGATATTTATTATCAATTCCAGTCACAGTAGCAAGCAACGAGCGAAGTTTCTTCAAGATGAAAATAATAAAAAACAGATTACGAACAACTATGGGTGATGCAAGATTATAAGCGTTATTATCATGTTCAATAGAAACAGTATTTGTAGATGCTATGAATACTCAAGAATTAGTAGAACGATGGTCCAGAAATAAATCTGGTCGTAGAATGTAGTATGTTGTTTTGTGAAGGATATGAAGGAACA